TTTTGTCGAAGTGACACACAACGCGAGTTATGCTCGATTTTTTGCCGATTTTTGACACACCACGCCAAAAAGGTTGCCCATCACTGTTCTAGGACTTACTGCACCAACTTTACATGTTATTCTAAGGCCTCCATAAAGATGAGAATATCATCAAGGTAAATGAGCACCCCCTTCTAAAGGTACTCATGCAGCATCTCATTGATGAATTGCATGAAGACTCGAAGAGCCCCTTGTAAGCCAAACGGCATGACTTTGAACTGGAAACTACCAAGGGGGCAGATGAATGCTGTCTTCCATTCATCCTCCTCCCGGATTTGTATGTGGTAATACGCCTCTCTCAATTCCAGGTTGGTGAACACCTTGCCTTTGGCTAGGTGATTCAACATGCCCTTCATGAGGGGTAGAGGGTATGTGTTTTCTACGCAAACGGCGTTAATCCCCCGGAAGTCAATGCACAATCACACACACACACCTGCATCTTTCTTCTCTTTAAAGAGAATGGGGCAGCTACTTTAGACTTGGCTGATTGGCTAAAGCCCCACTCCAAATTGGCATTGATGTATTTCCTTAATTCTGCCATTTCTTTAGGGGTCATGGAGTACATCTTAGGCTTTGGTAGATTTGCCTCTGGCACTAACTCTACAACACAATCGGTAGGTCAATGAGTTGCAGTCTTCCTCACTAAAAACCCCTTCCAAGTCCTGGTATTCTTTTGGGATTTGCTGGATGCCTGTTGGTTTAGCTTCTGCTGCCAGGATGGCAGGCTCTAGACTGTCTGCCTTGGGGGACCCGATGGTCACTGGGTTGCTATCTGGCCTCACTGGGGATAGCGGGCCGATGCCTATGGTTAACTTTCGGTAGGCATCCTACCACTTTATGGTGGGTGCCCATTTGTCCAGCCATGCAAGGCCCAAAATGATCAATTCATTCATTTTTGGCACTATGATGAATCTGAGGAGTTCATGGTGGCGCTCTATCTGCAACATCACGAACTCAATGATTACCTTGGCCAGGGTTCCTCTGATTAGCATCAAATCAACTTGCTCAAAATTGATGGGCTAAGGGTCTTGTGCGTATGCCCAGCTGTTCTACAATGGACATGCTAATTAGGCACTGAGTGCAGCCCATATCAACAAATTCCCCTTCTACCCCCGTCTTAGGCACTATAAGTTTAGCTTTGATGGCAAAGGGGCGGATGGCTGCACTTACCATCGGGTCATCTTCGCAGTTGTTTTCCTCCTCTGAGCCTGGAGAGTTTCAACATCTGACAGTGTCTCCGTCTTCTCAAGCTGTGGAGAGGCTCCTTCCATTTGGTGGCCAAGGCAACTCTTTTCGGGTGGTTTTTGTGGGGCCCTCTTTGTTCCATTGGCAGGTTTCCACTGCTTGGGTTCACTGCTGTGGCAGTGGGGCAGGGCCAAGCATTCTGATGCTCTGTGCCCATGTTGACCCCACCAATAGCACTTTATTGCTCCTGCCGATTTTGGGGGTATTGTTTGCTTTGTTTGGGTTTGGTGGCCCAGAGGTCTTCAGGTAGGCTTTTCAACCATAAGCTTTCGATGGGGGTGAAGTTCGTGGTCCAGAATAACTGGTAGTGTACCAATTCTGGGTATACTCCGGCACTCTAATGCTGCATGCTTTCTCAGTTCAGGATCTAGGGCATCTTTGAGCATGTGCACAAGGAATGGTTCTGGACAGCCCCATAGCTTTCCAGCTGCTCTTCTAAACTCCCAAACTAATTCCTTCATGGGACAGACAGTCTGCCACAACCCTTGAATTTGCTCTTCTGCTTCCACATGTTGGGTCACATTATTGAATCGGATCTGCAACAGTTGAATAAATCCATCAGTGTCTTCTAATTCAGGAGCTGCCTCATCATGCAGCTCTGCTACCCATTCGGAAGCCTCCCCCTCATTGACCCCCTCTGTTATGGCCTAAACCAGCTCTTGGTTGGAAGGGTATTGATCTCCAAATTGATCAATTGATCAATGTGTGCTCAGACTCAATTTAGAAAGTAGGCTAACTTTCCAGGGGTCCCATCAAATGTCACCCAAAATGAGGGAGACACGGGAGCCGGTGGGGCTGACGCCTGGATTTGTGTGGGCACTTGAGGTTCCCCCCCCTTGCAGCACTAGTCCTGGCAGCTGCTGTCGGGTAGGAATCTGCTGGGGCATTGCAGCTTGGGACTGCCCCTGTGGTTGCGGTTGGACCGGAACCGCTTGAGGCATCACTACATGGGGTTGAAATACCCCAAACGTTTGCATTGGTGCCATCTGCTGAAGGGAGGCTGGCGTCTACTGGTACTGCACCCATCCATGGTCTGGGAAGAAAGCCCACCCCATTAGGGCTTGACTCATTGGCTGCAACCCAAACACCAATGGCTAGTTAGGGGTCAGATCCCCCCAAATGCTTTGCTGCTGGCTGGGTTGACTACCTCAGCCCAGGTGCTGTGTCATCTGTGCTCCAGGATGAAGGGGGGCTGCCGTTGGTGTTGTTCCAGCAGCAAGATTGTGGGCTGACCCGCTTTTCACAGTATGGAAAGAGCATGAATCCCCACTCCAAGGCATTGTGGAGTCTCGACCCAGAAAGGTGAACTTTGGCTGGGCCAGGGTATACTTGAATGGCTCAGAGCTAAGGAAAGGGTTGGTTCCACTCACATTAAGCTGTCCAAATTGGTCTGGAAGGCCATCCAGCGAGGGACTGCGGGATGGTGGTGGGAATCCCCAATCTTCGGAATGCCCTGTCAGCATCTGCTTTAGTCCCCTACACTCATGGGTCAAAGCCAATCCCGCACCCATATGTGGCTCCAACAGCAACTCCTTAGGGGAAGTGAATCCCACAGCTTCATCTTGCAGAGTTCTGTCATCTACTGCTCCCTCCGTGGGCTTCTTCTCTTCCTCCATCTTCCCTGAGTCTTTACACCACCCAGTTTCGGGTTGGTGCTGGG